TCAGAGTCATCTAAAATGACATGTACAACTTAACCGTATCTCGTCAATCATGGCTAGTATATAAGTCGGAGTCACCTATAGTGACATGTACGACTTATCCACATCTCGTCAATCCTGACTAGCATATAAGTCGGAGTCACCTATAGTGACCTGTACGACTTATCCACATCTCGTCAATCCTGGCTAGCATATAAGTCGGAGTCACCTATAGTAACCTGTACGACTTATCCATATCTCGTCAATCCTGGCTAGCATGTGAGTCGGAGTCACCTATAGTGACCTGTACGACTTATCCATATCTCGTCAATACTGGCTAGCATGTAAGTCGGAGTCACCTATAGTGACCTGTACGACTTATCCATATCTCGTCAATACTGGCTAGCATGTAAGTCGGAGTCACTTATAGTGACCTGTACGACTTATCCACATCTCGTCAATCCTGACTAGCATATAAGTCGGAGTCACCTATAGTGACCTGTACGACTTATCCATATCTCGTCAATACTGGCTAGCATGTAAGTCGGAGTCACCTATAGTGACCTGTACGACTTATCCATATCTCGTCAATACTGGCTAGCATGTAAGTCGGAGTCACTTATAGTGACCTGTACGACTTATCCACATCTCGTCAATCATGGCTAGCCAATAGCTCAATAAGTATACCTGCACACGAGTCGGAACCACCTAAAGTGGTCTGTACGACAGGACTGGGTGTAAATAAATACACTCAAGTGCTACGATCACGTGAAGACTGGGCGAATAATCGCGGGTCACCTGGGAGTCGGAACCACCTATAGTGGTCTGTACGACAGGACTGTGCACCTAACTTGTATTCAAGCTGAGCGTGTGGTGCGGGAGGTGAACAACACGTGAAGGACTATGCCCTACTCTGGGCGGGAGCACTAACACCGGGGTGCAGGTTTATGAGCTCTCAATGCATCTCAATATAACATGTGCAACTCATGGCAACCAGTACGACAATATCGAAGTTGCCTAACACATAACTATAGTCATGCTATAACGCAATCGATTCAACTAATATCATAACTCACCTGAACTTACATGGGTGTCCTGCGTTCACCTTTGCACTTGAAAGCATTCTCAATAATTATATGCAAGTAATATACATATGGATATACCATGATGCAATCTACTACTCAACCATGCCATAGCATTTTCAATTATAAACAATATAAGGTGAAGTGTACAATCAATAACGCTCTACTCCCAAACTACTTATTTTCAAGGATAATTATTCATGACAACCCAATTAACACTAATTTAACTAACTAATTCATAAAACTAAAAACTTGCCTTAACCAATTTCCTTCGCATTACTCAATTTCCCAAACAAGGCTTTTGTCTCGAATATTTTATGGCTGCATCTAACGTCTCGTTAGACTGCCTACGTACCCTAAACAGGGATCAAGCCATTCGTAGTTCACATAGTACTTCAAGCATTCACAATAATTATATATGAAAGTAATATGCCTAATCAATTTAAAGGTGTCGATATAACTCTCAATAATATGTACGATAAAAAAGGAAAAGATGCACTCACCTGGAGTCCACGCTATGATTCTCTAGCGCACGTATCGAGACGTCCTGAATGATTGGTCCCTGTGACCAATTATCAAATCACATCTCAGAACTCTTATCCGTAGAATATGTAATTCACATAAAACACAACTTCAACGACATTCTAAAATAGTTTGAGACCCATTGACCACAAGTCAACCGTCGATCAAAGATCGACGGTAGGGTTTACAACCCTGTATAACCTGACCCGGAAGATCCGCATATCAGATTTCCAATCCGCAACTTCCAACGATCCACAATATGTTTCTAGAATAACATATTAAAATTTCATTACGATCCAACGGTCAGATCTCCGCCAATTGCCTAAAACAAATGGCCGTGAACATTTATTTTACTAACTTACAAATCCAATTCAAGAAGATCCGTAAGTCGGATTCCCGATCCGTAAATTCCTATGATCTTTAAATATTACGTATTATAATATATCCAATTTTGGTGACGATCCAACGGTCGGATCATCGATTCACATTTTTATCAAGTAACGTATCATAACGAATTTAGGTTCCAACGATCAACCTACGTCATTCAAATGACAAAACTGAATTCAAAACATTCGACATAGCCTAAAAATAGCATTGGCGGCCCACTGGCCACGCGCCGCCGCGGGTGGCGGTCGGCCGCCCCGACTCGCCGGAAAATCCAACTATTTTCAAAAATTCTCAAACTTCACAGAAATGAAGATCTCAGTGAGTGGAGCAACTTTCATACCTTCCACGAAGTCCAAAAGTGGACGGAAGATTGTCAATTTTGCCCACGAAGCCGGCGGGTGCCTAAAACTTCCCGACGTCGATTCGTCGTCTACGGTGGTCCAACGGGGTCAAGGTTGGTTGGGTTTTGCTCCTGGGATGATGGGCTACAAAGCCCAAGTGGTGGCATCGGCCATTGCTTTGCCGATTTGCCGGAAAATCGAAAAGGGTGGCCGGAGCACCATTGATTTTCGTCAACTTTCGTGGCCTCAAACCGCCTTATACCATGGTTAATCAAGGTGGTTCTTGGGTGGGTTTTGTAGAGGGGAATGAGAGCTTCAAAATGGTGGTGGTGGCATCGAAAAAGTCCACCGGAGTTGGCCGGAATCGGCCTTGGAAGATGGCCTCGCGGTGGTGCGGACATGGGTGCACGGGAAGCCTTTTTCCCTTTTTTTTTTTTTTTTTTTTTTCTTTTCTTTTCTTCCTCCTTTTTGATTGGCTGCAAGCTTCACTTTAAATGTTCTAATTGGTTCCTTGTCCCTTTAATTTAATTGGTCCACTAATCCCACAAGGTGGGAATTCAAATATTTAAATAACCAATTTCAAACGTCCATAAGTATACCGTTATAATTCGAACTCGCAAACGGTTTTCGCCTATACGTTCATACCAATGAGTACTACGAGGATATGCTAAAAGAATAAGTCCCACATCTCTCAAGTCAATGGTCAACAGAAGTCAAAGTCCTTGCCTCTAGGGCAATTTCGTAAACTCACGCTTTTAAAATAAATTAAAAATGTAAAATTTGGAACGGGTTGTCACAACGCCATTTATTGGTCATGTTAAAAGTTTTGTGACGCAATGGTTTAGTGTTATCTTTGTGAGTGTCTTAAAAATATTTTTTATGACATTGAAGAGTGTCATGTATTACTTCTAAGAAGGCCTAACAAGCGTCATTGAATTAAGAACCTGTGTCAACTATTACCATTTAAGGCGTGTAATAAGTGTCATAAACAGAGTAATGAGTGTCACGGTATACTAAATATGACATACGCACAGTATCATGCATAGTTTGTAAAAGAACCTGACAAGCTCCATTAAATTAAAATAACATGTCATCTATTTCAATTTGAGACGTGGAACATGTGTCATAAATAAAGGAATGAGCGTCATGTAAGCGACATTAAAATAAAAACTTATGTCATCTATTACCATTTAAGACGCCGAATAACTGTCATAAATAGAGAAATGAGCCTCACGATGTACTAAACATGACATACATATTATGTCATGTATAATTTCTAAAGACACCTTCCAAGCGTTAGTGAATTAAAAAAAACGTGTCAATCAAGCAAACTACTCAATGGTTATATGATTGTGAATGGTCGTTGTCATGTTGGCAAAACATTACTAAATTGAAGAGTAGTTACTTTTCAACAAACACAGACACGTTATATGATTGTGAATGGTCGTTGTCAACATAAAAGTTAATTCGTGCATCAGCGTTGTAGCTAAACTTAATCCAATGGTCAAGGGGCCCTACTACCGGCCAGTCAGTCATCTATTCAAAACCGAACTCCTCCTGGCGTGTTTACCAAAATAAAAAAGAAAAAACTCCTTTTGGCTTCACCAAAGAAATTTTTGGTGCCACTTAATTTTGTTTACATATTTAGTTTACAAGTTTAATTTATCTAGTATTACTTTTTTTTTTTGTAATGCATGAATTTCTACAAACGTTTTTTTTATAAGTTCTAATTAAATATTAAAATAATAATAAAAAAGTACATAAAAAAAAAAAAAAACATTAGCCATCATCTTCCCTCTCCTTTCGTGCATCTCCCCCCTCTCTCTTCCCCATCATCTTCCTGCAACCCAGAAAAGAAGAAGGAGAAAGAAGAAGAAGAAGAAGAAGAAGAAAAAAAAAAAAAAAACCCAAACCAAACCAAACCCAGTTCATCCCCCCTCCCCCCACCACAAACCCACCCCCTGCAACCTAGAAAGGAGGAGGAAGAAGAAGGAAACAACAAAAAAAAAAAAAAAAAAAAAAAAAGGAAAACAATGGGAAACCCAGTTTGTTCCCCTGAAGAAGAAGAAGAAAAAGGAGGAGGAAGAAGAAGGAAACAACAAAAAAAAAAAAAAAGAAAAAAAAAAAAGAAAAACAATGGGAAACCCAGTTTGTCCCCTGAAGAAGAAGAAGAAGAGAGATGGAAAAAAAAAAAAAAAAAAAAAAGCAGCAAACCCGTCCCCTCCCACCCAACCCCACCCCCCCGGCCCACCTAACCCGTAGAAGAAGAAGAAGAGGGAAGCAGAAGAAGAGAAGAAGAGAGAAGAAAAGAAAAAAAAAAAAAAAACCAGTTCGTCCGCCCCCCTCGCACCCACCCTTTCTGTGATATCCCGTCCCCAAAATTATTATTTTATTTTATTCTTGACGTATTTCGAAGATTTGATTAGAACTAGTTCTTTATTTCTCCAAATTTCAGAAAAACGAAGTGAGGGGTAATTTAGTCATGTCAAATTTTCTAGACTTTTTCGGTCAACTCTTGAATTGGTTAGGTAGAGTTCGATTCCATGAGCGCGTAGGCGTAAACAGATCTTATTTCCGAGTTCGAACGGAGAAGTTAGAGTCGTTTAAAGTTGGTGGCATTTTGGTAATATTACCAAAATGCTATAAATTGGGGGGAAACCTTCAGAAATAGGAGGGGGGATTTCAGAAAATGGGAAATGGAAACCGCACAAAACCGTTTTAGGGGGAAATTTGACCCATAAACCCACCAAACTTGACCCGCTTGTATCTTTTTCATCCGAGCTCCGTTTTGGATGATCTTGGTGTCCCTGGAAAGCTCTTAACGAGCTCTACATCTCTGTGATTTTATATTTTCCCATTTCTTTTTCCATCCGTGCAGTTCGAGGTCGCAAAGTCCAAGACCTTGCCGGCGGATTTATCATCTTTCCGGCGATTCCGGCAACGATTTCCTCCGAGTGAGGTATGAAACTTCATCTACTCTTCATAATCTTCAAGTGGGTATGCTTAGTTTGTGCTTTCGTATTCATTTTAGAGTTGGCTGTTTAGAACACCTAGAATTCCGGTTTTCTCCGGTGAAATTGAACGGTTTCCGGTTAGAATTTATCGTTGGCCTAGTTGTGAAAAGTGTTTCCCTTGTTGAGCTCTAGCTACCACGTAAATTTGAGCTCCTCTAGTTAATGTTGAAATTCGGGATTGTAAACCCTCCATCTTGACTTCCACCGCGTGTGGCGGTACGTGGGATCGTTCACGAGTGTTGTCTAGGTTTTAAATACCTTCTAGTAACCATGTGAACCTATGTCTAGCTTGGTTTCCAAAGATTCAATTGTTGGGTGTGTAAATCAAATTTCTTGATCAAGAGTTTGGTTCAAAAGGTCAATTTCTTGTTAATTTTGAGTCATGTTAGTTTTGGATGTTATGTACATGACTTCTGGACTACCTGGAAGTATTTTGGGATTTGTTATATGAATTGGAAGTGGGTTGTTACGTAAGTTGCAGAAAATTGATTTCTTTGCAAAGAAAACTCAAGTTTCGAGTAGCCTTCTTTGACTCTTAATTTCTAGGCCTTTATGTGCTCCTTTGGAGAAAATTTTTAGTATGTTGAAAGTACATATGCTCATGATCGTAACCCAATTGTTTTCACTCAATTTCGTTGAGTTTTGGTTGATCAAAACTTTCTTTAAGTTTGGGTCGTGGGCTGCCAAACAGCAGCAGAAAATTGGGTTTCCAATTTCAAGACTCCGTTTTTCCTTTTGGCATAACTTCCAATTTAGAGCTCCGTTTTCTGCAAACTTTGTATGCTTTTAAAGTACAGAACACAAGCTTCAAAACTCATATAATATCACATGATTTGGTTTAGTTTGGAATGTTCCAAATGGAGCCTAAACTTGGTCTAATAGTGCTGTTTTCTGCAGATTTTGTGGAGAAGTAGAGTACTTTTTTTTGCCACACCTATTTTCTTTTCCAGATTCCTTTCTAATCTTCTTTACTACTAATAGAGTGATATTATTTGAGTGGTAGATTCCATAATCAGTGTACTTTCTTTAGATAATATTAATTTTGTTCCTTTGAAGAGCCTAATCGTAACACAAAAGTACAATCAAGAGTATAAATACAAGTAGCACACATTACTAACCAAACTAAGCTATTAAAATGTGATTCTTTTATAATTGGCCATCGATCTATTTTTATTAAATGTGGTTTGATTATGGATGGGTAATATTTGTGGGAAAGTGATTCGAATTGCATATTGAAATGTGAATTATATATACATACGCCATAGACCCATGTTAATTAAATGTGAATTCTATTGAAGTGTTATTTTATTTCTGGCCAGTGATCTATTTTCAGTAAGTATGATTTGACTTGTGGATTGGAAATATGGTTTGTATTGTATGATTGGATTGATGTGATGAAATGCGAGAGCTAATAGTGGACCATTAATCCATTGTTATGGGGTTCGTTGCTTCAAAACATGTATCAACCCTCGTGTCATTATTCATTCTCGTTTCGTTGAGTCTTTGTATCTTGAGTAACTTGATCCATGTCTTGTTTTATCGATTGGTGTTACACATTACACTCCGGGATTTCGTTGAGTGATGGTCCGGAATCGTATCCTGGTTTGGATTCCATTGAGTGATGGTCCGGAATTCTTCCTACTTCACTCCGCGATTCCGTTGAGTGACGGTCCGGAATCGTATCTTGGTTTAGGTTCCGTTGAGTGATGGTCCGGAATCCCTCTTACTCCGCGATCCCGTTGAGTGATGGTCCGGGATCGTATCCACCTTAGTTCATAGAGTTTAGTTTGAGATGGTTGCAAAGTGTAGGCTTTGGATGAACAGTGTCGCCTAATTCTACTTTCGTTGTGTGTATGTGAATATGGGTGTGAGATGTTATGGTTGTTTGAAATGAACTTTTGGATGTCTGGGTGCCTCCCTCGGAGTTTTCAAAAGTTTGGTATTGATTTCCTATGAAAGATTTATATTCAAGGTTTATAAATTTTGATTGATGGCTGGGTTTATTATTGTATCACATGCTTATTTTATTGTCCCTCACCCGAGCCTCTCAGCTTATCTGAGTGCCTGAATTGCCAGTGCAGCAATTCCATAATATTGGCATTGACTTTACATATGACAGGTTTGGGTAGATTATGAGAAATCGCTTGATATTTTGGTTCCGTTGAGTGGTCCAGAACCCAATGTTGTTGGATTCCGTTGAGTGGTCCGGAATCCTTGCTCTTGTTCATTCCGTAAGGTGATTTAGAATCCTAAATTCGAGTAGATGGGAATTATCCACAATAGATATTGTGAATATAAATTAGAATTACCATGTTATTATTCTTAACCCAAATTGGGAATTATGTAGAGTTCTTTAATTAAATTCGTGAAATGATATGTTATCTCATTGATTGATTAACGTAATTAAATGTTAATATTGTACTTTGTGATTCCTTGATATGTTACAAGCTATGTATTGAAATATAATGTTGGAAGTATAGTGATTAGTATGATGAAGTGAAATGTGATGTAACTTGGGTATTGGAAATGGTTATGACACATGATTGTAATGCATATTGAATTGCTTGGGAGATGTGAGGTCTAGTAAATGACCGATGACTCATTGTGATGTGGATTTTACTCAAATATTGCTTCGTTTCGTTGAGTTTCGTGAATTGGGTAACTTGAATCATGTCTTGTTCCTTCGAGCCGTTGTTATGTTTCTTGGACTTCCGTTCAATTCGGTTAGCTGGATTGGAACTGAGTTTGTTTGGATTCCGTTGAGTGATGGTCCGAAATCCCCTTTGGAGCCTTGGTCCGTTGGGTGGTCCAAAATCCCCTTTTCCAAAGATGTAGTCTTCAACTGAATTGTGTTGCTCTAGCTTTGCGTTCGACTTGTGGTATGTGTTATTGATCGATGTGATTATGGAATGACATTGGATATGAGTGGAGTTATCATGAGTATTTTAGTTGATTAATATTTCTAAAGAATAATATGTACTTTGTTAATTCTTAAATATGTTACACGCTATGAAACGCAAATTTATGTGGGAAACGTGATGATTTATGTGATGGACGAAGTGGAAATGTTAATTGTCATGTGGGATTGTTATGTTGGATATCATTGTTATTGTTATGATTAGACTTGTTGATATATTTGGCTCGAGAATGGTGTTGTACATCGTTGGTTCTTTGAAATGATATATGTTGTGAATTGCGGTATCATGTTGTGACATAATTGCCTATATATTGATGGAGGGGAAATCATGATTTTCAGATGGGTTGTTATGTAACCCTGAGTCAAGTAATTTCATGCTTGTCGAGTTCTATTGATTGATTGAAAAACATTATACCTTTCGACTTAATTGGACTGTGTTATATGTCAATTATTGTGCATGACGAACTACGAATGGCTTGATCCCTGTTTAGGGTACGTAGGCAGTCTAACGGGAAGGTTAGATGCAACCATAAAGCAGTCTAACGGGAAGGTTAGATGCAACCATGAAGCGTATAGAATTTTCAATCTTCTATGGATATCTTCATATTTTGTGAACATAAATGTCCATTACTTTTCAACAATTTCATTCTTTTACTTGGCAGCTGCTTCTCATTGGGTCTAATATAAAAGCATCGTATTGGCTTTTGGCATTTTTACCAACAAGTTTACACATTCTTCCGAGAGACAGAGAGAGAGAGAGAGAGAGAAGAGGAGAGAGAGAGAAAAGATCGATGATGGCAAGAGTGGAGGACGTGGTGATAGTAGGGGCAGGAATAGCAGGGTTGGCGACTGCCGTGGCGCTCAAGAAAGCTGGAGTTAAAGCGTTGGTGTTGGAGAAATCAGACGGCCTCAGAACCACCGGTGCAGCTTTAACCCTCTTCCCCAACGCTTGGTGTGCCCTTGACGCCTTGGGTGTTTCCCACCACCTCACTTCTGTTTATGCTACAATAAAAAAGTGAGTGCTCGAATCTCCTTCAAGTATTAGACTAGTTTAAATAAAATATCTCTGTCTGAAAAGAAACATAGAAAACTAATGTTTGGATGCAAAGTCAGTAAGACTAATACATATGCAGACACGCATGAAGCTGATCGCTGTTATAATTACAAGCTGAAAGTCAATGAGACTACTACAATTACTGTCAGGAATTTCTAACAGAGTCAACTTAACCACATGAACCATGTTTAAACTCAAAATTCAACTTATTTATGCATTGGGAATGGTTGTCTGGCAGGGGATATGTAACTAACATTGACACCGGAGAAATCAAAGAAATTTCTTTTCCCGCATCCAATGGGTAAGCGAACCATAGTATTGTTTATTTGTTCAGTTTTACAGCTGGTATGTACTGCTTTAGGAATTTAGGAATGCAAATTGCCGACTTGATTGTTGTCAATCTTTTACATGAAATTTAGAAATGACCTAGTTGGACCAAGATCAGTACACCGAAAAGCTTTACTCAAGGCTTTGGCAGATGAGTTACCACCAAATTCCATCCGTTTCGCTTCCAAACTTACTGCTATCGAGACCCAAGAACATGAAGGCTCGTCCATTTCAGTTATTCACTTTGGAGATGGGACAATAATCAAAGCAAAGGTATATAGTAACCAAAATACACTGTTTATAAGTAGTAGAATGAGAGAGTCACTCATGGAATGCAGTACTTTAAGTTATCTTTTTCTTTCCATTATATTCTGTTTTAATTGGATGATTATCCGCTACAGGTTCTGATAGGCTGCGATGGGATTCACTCAGTGGTTGCCCGCTCGTTAGGACTTGCCGAACCAGTGTATGCAGGTCGATCAGGAGTTCGTGGCTTGGCTGTGTTTCCTCAAGGCCACGGATTGGACAATAACGTGCAGCAATATGGAGGACTTAACAGAAAGGCTGGTTTTGTTCCCCTCAATGACAAAGAGATCTATTGGTTCTTTACCACATGTCTGGCTAAAGGTCCAAAATAAACCATTCCCTTTGTTTTAATTCGTGATAGACAACAAACTGAACACTTAACAAAACACCACACTTGTTTCTATCGTTATTGTAGGGGCGGATCCTTCCAATGACCCGGAAGTTATAAAACGAGAAGTGATTGAGAATTATGCCAAGGATCTTCCTCCTATATACCTAGACGTTGTACGGCACTCGGATCTTTCTACATTGTCATGGGGTCCACTAATGTTCAGGTACCCGTGGCATGTAGTATTCGGGAACCTAGGGAAGCAAAACATCACGGTGGCTGGTGATGCCATGCATCCCATGACACCTGATTTAGGACAAGGAGGTTGCGTGGCATTGGAAGATGCAGTGGTCTTGGGCAGATACATAGGGACATCCTTTGTACAAAATGGACAAATCGTGCCAAAAGAGATGGTTAGTGCGATTGGGAAATACGTGGAAGAAAGAAGGTGGCGTGTCGCGCTGTTGATTGCAGGATCATATTTATCAGGATGGATGCAGCAGGCGGGGTCTGGTGGAGTTCTGAAGTTCTTGAGGGATACCATATTTTACGGGTTCATTTTCCGTAAACTTGTTAAACTTTCACATTATGATTGTGGAAAACTTGATTTCTAGCTAGTGCATTTCATTGTCCACAAGAAAGAAGACGATCAAGCTTCCCTCCTCTACGGCATTATATTATTGATGACCTTTCAACAGGGATCGACCTGAGAGGAATCTAAGAAGAACAGGAAAGATTTATGGAACCTGAGATCAATAGCTAAATAAGCAGTATATGCTAGTTGTTTTTAAATGGAAATAGGCACAATTTACAAAAACAGTGTGCTTTGCGCTGAATTCTAGTACTGTATGAACCAATTTACAACAAATAAAACAATCCTTATCGAGCCTCCAAACGAGTAATGGATAATTTGTTGGTACAAAATGTTTGATTATCTGAAGATGAACGTGCTTCATATTATGCCCTTTCGATAAAGAAACCAGATTGATTAGGTTGATCCAATGCACCATTAGTTCCCAACTACAAAGGGTAGTAGCCATTTGGTTATTATTGTTGGGTTAACAATGATATTACCAACGTAACACGTACGATAGAGAAGGAAAATGTCCTAAACCTTTATCAATCACTTCCAATGGGCTTCCTTCGTTCTATAATCGCCATGCCTGAAATATGTCAAAGCTCCTTCATCATCTACCATGTCATCAGTTTAATATGTAAAAACAAGTGTTGATGTTTACAGTTATTGCTACATTTTTTTCATACAAAGGTTCTACTCCAAGTGGGGTGGATATTTTACGCTAAAGGGAAGGATTAGACGTAGCCACACAACAATTCAACCATAACTAGTATCGAATTCAACACAAGTATTATGTGCCATCGTTATCCATGTGAGCTAGATGTTGCTACATTAAAGAATACTAAGCTTTCACAAAGCTAGACAAGAATGTCTTTACAGATATTTGAGCAAAAATTAACTACTTCTCCTAATAGTTGTAGGAGGGCGCTGACAAAGCGAGACATGAATGCTTAATACTTGATCTCTGTAGGGGCAATTGTCAGAGTTCCCACCAGATATGTGGTGACTTTTGGGAGTTGTTTTTCGTACCTCCAGCGGCTATATTATTGCGGGCGCATCCAAACCTTGTTTGTCTTCTTTTGCTCTCGAAACTGAAGCCAAGGCAGCTCTGCTTGCTGTCCTTTCAGCGATCGATAACAATTTCCAAGATGCGGCCTGTGAATCGGATTCGCAGGAGCTCATTAGAGGCATCAAGGGTGACTTCAAAAAGGGAAATTGGACCATCTTTCCCCTATTAATCGAAATTCGGAATCTCACTCATCGCTTTCATTCGATTAGCTGGCGGTGGATTCCTCGTCAAGCGAGTTTTGCAACCGATTGGGTTGCTTGGCATTGTAAAAGAGGGATGCGTTCAGATGTTTCGATCATAAGGCCCCCCATCCTCTCTAGTTCCAAATATGGTCTCCCCTGCCCCTCTTAAGCTATGTGTACTTGAGATGGGTGAGGATAGCAGATTGGACCATTGCCCCGCTTTCGTGTTGTGCTCTGCTTTTTCTCCCCCGTCTTGGCTTCCGGGCGAGACCCTTTTTCCCCCGTTTTTCTAATTTTTGTATGCCGCTCTGTTTTGTTTCTTTGGTATTTTCCTTTTCCGGATGGTTGTTCTCTCTCCTGGGCTTTGTCCCTACTGAAGATTCCCCTTTGGCCTAACAAAAAACAGATGGTAGTCTCACACGTGAGTCTTCATCGATATATCCTTTTGTATTTCTACAACTTTACATATCTGTATTTTCTGATATTTTAAACATTGATTGAATCCACTAATGGCTAACAGGCCCTACTGCACGTCAGTTAACAAATACACTTTTTATAATGAAAGAATTTCCATTGATTTTTTTTAGACGAAATTTCTATTGATTTCATGTCTTTATTAATTCTAATTGGATGATATTCAACTCAAATATTGTCAAAAAAAAAAAAAAATTGAAACTTGATTTTTTATCTATAATTAAATTTTAAAGTAGACTAAAACGTAGAAATTTTGGATTTTGGGTCAAGCGATCACATAATTTACATTTATTATGATCAACAACAATGTGATTTAATATCTTAGTCAATAGAGCGTTGAGTTTCTACTCATAATAACAATTTTATTTTGACCAAAAAAAAAAAATGTGACAATTTATATTTTAAACAAATATACTAATTTATTAAGCTAAGAACTTAATTTGAATTGTTCCAATTTATCCGTTTTATTCAGGTTTTTTTTTTAATTAAGAAGGGATTTTTTTTTCACTGTTAATTCAGTGTTTTTACTTTTTATTCGCGCAACAGGCATGTGGTTTATTTTTTTTACCAACTCCGGTTTCGGGGGTGAGAAATCCTATACAACTGAAGGTTGCGTGATGGGCAAGTTGAATCTCGTTTCTATACAACTTTGGGTTGTGTGATGAGTTTGTAATAATTTAATATTATTAAACAATTCTATAATAAATCATGATTTTTTTTTTCGAAAGAATTAGAGTTGGCCGTGTAGCTCAAGCATGAGTTTATTAAAGGGGTGTGATATTCACACACCCTATTTACTTTTCATACACCCTTCTAATTTTTGGCCGTCAGATCGGATGAATTGAAGAAAATCAACTGATATAAATTAATAAGGGGTGTATAAGAAGTAAAATGAAGTGTATAGATAGCACATTGCTTATAAAAGGAGAAATAACAGATGGAAGCGACAATATGAGAATAGTGAGTGGGCTCACGCTTTGTTGAGTGTTCACAAAAATATCTGAACTATACTATAGCGCTAAGCTAACATGGAATAATATGACTGGCTTTTCGTTATGTATAACATGAGCTAAAGAAACCTCCTAAATCCACGGCCAAGTGATCAAGTATAGTCAGAATTAGTTTTATTTGACTAACCCAGCATAAGAAGGAAATTCAAACACGAAAATTTTAATGTGTTTCTAGATCATTAATATATGAATTAGAGATGGTAGTTAGCAAATGTGCTAGTGGTGGTGGTCCTAAAGACAAGGATAATGGTAAGAAGCGGCAACGACGATAATGGGTAGCAGTGGTGATAATGGTAATGTGATGACGGTAGTAGTGATGATGTTGTGTGGTGGTGGAGGGTATGATGATTGAGTGGTGGTGCTGATGGTAATGATGTTGTATGGTGGCGGCAAAAATGATAGTGATGATGGTGGGAGGTGGTTGCGGCAACGGCGGTGGGATAATGATCGGTTGTGGTGATGAGAGATGTTGAGAATGTATGAAATGACTGATTTGGAGCTTTTATATCATTTTCTTGGTATGGGTGTGATACAAACTGAAAACAACATTTTCATAAGTCAAAAGAAGTATGCATTGACTCTATTGAATAAGTTTGGATTACAACAATGCAAGCCCTTAAGTATCCCTTTGGTGACAAGTGATAAATTATGCATAGATAATGGCAGTGAACCTGCAGATGAGAATCAATATAGGCAAACTGTGGGAAATCTGTTGAACCTAATTGCTACAAGGCTAGACATAATATTTGCAGCTAGCTTACTAATGAGATTCATGCATTGCCCATCTAAGAAACATTATGGGATAGCCAAAAAAGTCTTGACGTATATGCAAGGTACAATTGATTATAGTATTGAATATCAAAAAGGAAATGAGGTAGTGTTGATAGTGTACCATGATAGTGATTGGAGTGGGAACCAAGATGACATGAAAAACACATTTGGCTATGCTTTCTCCTTTGGCAGTGGTGTCTTTTCTTGGGCATCAATCAAGCAACATAGTGTAGCCCTTTCCACAGTAGAAGCTGAGTATGTCAGTGCAAGTGAGGCAACTACTCAAGCTATATGGTTGAGGTTTGTGCTCGAAGACTTTGGAGAATTACAAACAGAAGCTGGACCATTGATGGTAGATAATACTTATGCCATTGCAATCACAAAAAAATCCAGTGTTTCACCAAAAGACTAAGCACATCAATCGTAGGTATCATTTATTCGCGAAGCTTTGCAAGATGGTGTTATTGATCAAAGATACTGCAAGTCTGAGGAGCAAGTAGTTGATATATTCACAAAGGCACTACCAAAAGATCGATTCAATTATTTGAGAGGGCTGTTGGGAGTTAAACCAGTTAACAATTTAGAAGGGAATGTTGAAATGCAAATTCTTCACTGGTTTAATTTAAGGGAGTTTTAACGAAACACTTCCGGTACTGTTCAGTTTTATTGAAAATGAAAAGTCACTCTTGGTACTATTCACTTACAACACTTTTTTATCATTTTAATTAAAACTCAAAGTTTTCAAATTATTTTTATTAGTTTTCCTTTAATTTAATTCATAGCAACCATGTTTTGCTTCAATTAAGTTTGCCAAGTGTAAGGTCCTGATTTAATCTTTGTTTGTAGGACTTATATGTCTCAGATTAGGACAAGTGTCATGCTAATATTGCTGACTCAAATGTAAGGCTGTGATGCCATCCAAATACATGTAAAGGGAAATATTTCCGTTGGGAATGTATGAATATGTGTGCACTGCCATCATTTGTGCAGCAACGAACTTCTCTCTCCAAAAACTCCATTTCCCTCTCTTTCTAGAAATCTAGCTTTCTCTGAGATTGTTCATGTCTGTGATTGCTTATTTTCCTGTGAAATTACAATTTCTGATATGAATTCTAACAACAACCAATTGCGCACTTACCAAAACACCGCGGAGGAGCCCGAAGCTATAAGAAGGGAAGTGATTCAGAATTATGCCAAGGGCTTTCCTCCTATATATCTAGACGTTTTGCAGCACTCAGATCTTTCAACATTGACATGGGCTCCACTAATGTTCAGCTACCCGTGGCAGGTAGTATTGGGGAATCTAGGCAAGCAAAACATCACGGTGGCTGGAGACGCCATGCTTTCCATGACACCTGATTTAGGACAAGGAGGTTGCTAGGCATTGGAAGATGCAGTGGTATTAGGCAGATACATGGGGACATCCTTCATACAAAATGGAAGACTTGTGCCAAAAGAGATGGACAATGTGATTGGAAAATGCGTTGAAGAAAGAAGGTGGCATTTCACCTTCTCGATTGCAGGATCATATTTAGCATGACGGGCCAGCAGGTCCGGATGGGGTATGAAGGTCTTTAGGGATGCCGTAATTTACAGGTTCATTTACATTAAAATTGTAAAATTTACGCAGAAGAAGAGGGAAGCAGAAGAAGAGAGAAGAAAAGAAAAAAAAAAAAAAAAAAAACACAGTTCGTCCGCCCCCCTCGCACCCACCCTTTCTGTGATATCCCGTCTCCAAAATTATTATTTTATTTTATTCTTGACGTATTTCGAAGATTTGATTAGAACTAGTTCTTTATTTCTCCA